TTTTGCCTGATTGTCTGTCCCAGAGAAATCAGAGGTCACAAAGTGATCGATGGTCAGCAAGTTTGTGTGTGTACTGTAGTCTTAATGCCATATAAAATTTCAAATTTTGGTGATCTGGCTGTGTCATGTGTTTGCAGGATGCAGTGGGGCGCATTTGGGATACTTTTGGCCACCAGCATCTGAACCCCTCCCCTTTGCTCAGCGTTACCTCCAGCTCCCAGGTCCTGGGGAGGCAGATGGCACAGCCTACTGCTCACGTCACACTCCAGGGCCTCGCTAGCACTCAGACTGGCTTGGCTAATTAGATGTGTCTCTTCAGGTGTTTGAGTTGGGGTACTAGTTTCAGGAGGAGGCCAAGAATTTAAGAATTCTTCGTGACAGGAGAAATGTTAAAGAAAGCCTGTTTCTGGGGGCATGAAACAGCAGCATCCAAAGGGCAGTGACAGGGGTTCCTGGTGGCACAAGGGATTCAGGCTACTGGCAGCCACTGCAGCACCAGTTCAATCCCTGGTCAGGGAGGTGACCCATGTGGTGCAGCAGACCTCTCCTGTCTCCCCGCTGCTTCCCTCAGCAGTGGATTTCAGTGGATCCACATGTTCTGCTCCCCACTTGGGTGAACCCTCTCACACCCACATCTCTGGCCTGTATCCAGCTCTTTTTGCATAAATAAGTAAAATACATCTTTAAAAAACAAAAGGCAGTGACAGAGGTTTTTTTACCAACTTGGTTCCGTGGAGAAATTCTGCCTGTGGTCCTATCCTGTTGTCAAGCCACGCTCTCTGCCTTCCTGCAGAGTGTAAGCTTTGGGCGAATTCCTGCCTATATGTCTCTCCTCCTTGAATCTTCCCCTGCAGACCCCGCCCCTGCGGCAGGGCATAGCTTCCACCGACCTTCATTCATTTCCAGACCACTCATACATACGTGAGCTTGAGACGCTAGTCTACTTCTCTTAAAAAGTGATAGAATTTTGGTATGGGGATGAAAGAGAAAGATGATAGAGCACAAGAATCAAGAAATCAGACAAGTTCCACAGGGGCCTCAGCTGCATCACCCCCTTCTCCCTTCTCCCTGGGCAGAAGTGGGTCACGTGTTCACCCTTTGAGCCCGCCAGGGGGCCAGGGATGCTGTGCTGTGACTGGCTTAGCCTGGAACAGTACTTCAGCTTTGGCTGAATGGTAGAATCAGCTGGGAAAGTTTTCAAAATGCCAAGGCCTTGTGGCATCCAAGGCCCAAGAATTTTTTTTAAAAATCCTCATTTATGCAAAAAAAAAATGCTCAGTGAGGTTACAAAAAAAAGGGTGGGGGTGGGGGGTAGGTTGGGAAGGAAGGGTACAGGGGGTCCAGTGGACGGGGTTGGAGGATACTTGGTGCTTCGGTGTGGGTGTGGTGTGGTGTGAGACCGTACACTCGAAGAGGTGTGACCCTGTCCTCCTGAAACACGCAGCGCTGTACACCAATGCTACCTCAATTTTTAACAAAATTGTCGGGTGCTTTTAATATCATCACTGTCTTTATCCCTCAGATGTCCATTTTACAAAAGTAAATAATAAAATGCAAAGAGATATTTAACTTACCCAAAGGACCATACCTTCAGTGAATAGCTAGACTGGACACAATCAAATACCACACACACCCAGGTGACATTTACCAGGACAGCTTTGTTTTTCCAGAGCAAGCCTCTGGGTACCCACTCTTTTTCTTAGAAAATGAAGTCATGGGGAGCTCCAGAAATGAGAGGCAGTGGAGTAGAGGCCAGTGTTTCTCAAACTTGAGCTCAGAATCCCCTGGAGGGCTTGTTACAAAGCAGATGGCTGGGTCCCACCTCCAGAGTTTCAGATTCAATGAGTTTGGGGTGGGAGGCAGAATAATTAGCATCTCTAACAAGTTCCCAGGGGCTGCTGCTGCAGGTCCAGGGACCACACTACTTCAGTGGCTGAGAACTGAAGCACACTGCCTTGGTTAAGACCCTGTTCTTGCCTCTTAGGCCAAGTCAGCACTGACAAGTTACTAAACATATCTATGAAATTCAGCCAAGGGCAGGGCAGAGGTGGAGCTTAGTGCAACTGCTGTGTGGAACAAATGCAAAGTGGGACAGCATCTGAGCCACAGTCTCTGCCTGATGGGTTCCTTCCACCACCCAGCCATCAAGCTGTTAATGGCCTGGTTCCTCTAAGTCAAGCACTGCTCATACCTCTCAGTGAGCTTACTGCTTACACTCCACCTGGGAGGCACACAATGGTTGACTCTACCAACGTGTATATAGTGTCACACGGAAGAATTCTGAACCATGAGCAGTCTGGCACACACCAAGTTTTATGAGAACTGGTGCCAGTCTTGTTCACATGTTCTGGCTCAAGTTTTTCTAATGCAAAGTTCCGTTAGCAAGATGGTTCATCCTGTGTTTGGTTGAATAAAACCCAGGCTATGGTGTCTTAGTCAAGTTTCTCCAGAAAAATAAAACCAATAGGAAAAAATACACACATACATATGTATGCACGCGCATACACACATGTAATATAGCACTTTTATATATAATAATTGTTACATATCATAGGAATTGGCTCACATGATTATAGAGGCTGAGAGGCCCATGCTTGACTTTGCAAACTGGCTACCCAGGAAAGCTAGTGTGTGATTCAACCAGATCCAAAAGCACGAGGACCAGGGCTGCAGATGTGTGAGAGCAGATGACTCTCTACTCAGGTGAAGGGCAAGTTCTCCCTTCTCTGTTGTTCTAACCATGCTCTCACTGGAGGGGTGAGGCCCCCCTACATCAGTGAGGGAGTCCTTATACTCAGTCTACAGATTTAAAAGCTAATCTCTCCCAGAAATACCCTCAGAGATGCCCCAGTCATATTTTATCAAATCTCTGAAATCCCTTAAGCCAGTAAAAGAGACACATAAGCTTAACCTTCACAGGCATAATTCTTGACACCCACCAATTCTTCACCCACCAATTCTTGACATGTTGTTTAAGGACATCTCAAAAAAAAAGAACAGGATGGCTAGAGAGTGTGCTCAAAGGGACAGAGAGAGGAAGATGGAACCAACTGGATGCTTTACATAATTTACAGTGCTTAATCCTCACTCACTTGGAGTAGATGACCCCATTGATACTATGAGACAGAAGAGAAGCAACCTACCCAAAACTATGGAAGAAATGGTTCATGGTGAGCGAGTGATCTGAAGAAGGGGGTCAGGGTTGGCACTGCAGGGAGCAGACAGCAGGAGCTCTGTCATACCACAAGTCACATCCCTGTTCTTGAAAGGTCGCCCAAGAAATACATGGGCTCCTGGCAACTCAGGGAGGCGGAGAAGGGGCCTGGAAACTTGTCCTTGCATTTATCTTCCCAGAGCCTAAAACAACCAACTGCTTCCACCCACCTTCCGCCCAGCTGCACCCAGCCCCTATCTTCCCATACCCAACTGAGTCCCAAAGGCCCTTAAACCACCCCCCAGACTCTGGCTGGGTGTGACTTCTCCCACCCTGTGGAGGTCAGTGAACCTTGCCCGGAGCGCTCCAGTAAAGGCTCCTTTGCTGGCCACACTACGTGCCCGACTCCTTTCTGTCCCTGCTCTTTGCGCTTATCTACAATACTGCTGCTCTCCTTTCACTTCTTCTGGGGGCTCATGGGAACGCATTGTCGCCAAGCTAAGTTTGCCACTGTGGCTCTAGTCTGCTCCTAAGGCAGGTGACAGTGATGTAGTAAGATGCAAGGGCAGTTACTTCTGAACCAGACCTACTGAACACAAGCTGCCCCACCTTCTCCCAGTATTGTCTGGCTAAAAAATAAAATGATTATGGTAAAAAATAAAATGATTATGGATGTAACCCACGCTCACTACTGGAATACACAGCCCAGCAAAGAAGGGGGGGGGGAACCCAAAACAAAACCCAACAAAAAACAAACAAGTGATCCATAATCCCTCACCTGGGGTGGGGGTGGGTGGGTCAGGGGTAGCTAAAATGTTAAAGCCTCTTCCCTGCATTACCTCCGGGTCACGGGGACCCTATGCTCTGCTTATTAATTCGCCCATTCCAGTTACACATATTCTCCTAACGGGAAGTAAAGTTCTAAAAATTTCACTCTGCCGTTCTTGCTGGAGGTTGGTTTTCTGAACTTTGTTGGGGGCGGGGGTGCGGCGGTAGGACACGGATCTGGGACACAGCTTGGAGTTGTGTTTGAAGCTGTTTTTCAACTCGAAGTACTCACCTCCCAGCGCCGGGCGCAAGGTGTCATGAGCGTTTCCGCATCGGCATCTATATTCAAGAACCGGCAGTGTCATTTGGGGGTGCTTTTCCTCGGGATTTTTAAGCTCTGGCCGTTTGAACACTAGTGATGGCCGGAATTGGCTCAGGCCAGAAGACCTGAACGTGCAGTGGTGACACTGGCTGTAGGGGGTGCCCCTGCGTTCCGGCTCCCCGTCTCCCTGGGCGCGCGGGAAGCCCTCACGACACCCCGCAGCCGGGCGCGCGGGCTGGAAGGCGGAGCGCGCTGGAGGCCGGCGGCCTGCGCCTCCGTAACCTGGCAACCGCCGCCCGAGCAACGGAGCGGGGGCGGGACGAGAGGAGGAAGCCGGAAGCCGCCGGCGCCAGGTCTCGCGAGAGCCGTTTTTGCGCGCGAACTCTAAGAGGGCCCCGGGACTGCTAGTTGCGGGCAGCGGTGCGGACCCCTGGGGGCACGCGGCGCCCCCGCCGACCCGAAAGCCTTCGTGTCCCCGCCATGGAGCCCTCGGGCAACGAGCAGCAGCTGCAGCCCGCAGCGCCTAAGATCAGGAACCTGCCCTGGTAGGAGGAGGCCCGGCCGCCGCGGGGAAGGGGGTCGGCGCGAGCCCCGCAGGCCCACACTCCGGTTCCTGCGCCCGCCGAGCCCACGGCGCTCCTTGGCTACCCCGCCAGCGCCCCGTCACCCTCCGCGCTAGTTAGGACTGCGGCCACGGCTCCCCGTTGCTTTTGCCCAGTGGGAAAGCGCCTTTCGCGCCTGGGTGACAGCCGAGGACTCGAGCTCCGTCTCCTGACTTTCGTTGGCCGACTTTCTGCCTTCCCTGTGTGTGGGGGTCAGATTGCAAACTGAAATAGTGGTAGTCGCGGCGCTCCCCAGTTAACTTTCATTTGAGTCTGGCTTTCAGTTCGGCGGGCACCGTAGGTGTTAAGCTCAGGTTGCACAGGAGGGAATTGCCCGGAAGGGTGAAGAAGGACTTGCCTGAGATGCAGCTAGGAACCGCCTTGGATTTGAACTCGGGTAGTCTGAACTCGGAGCTTGCACTCCTAATCATCATACTGCTTAGCTATGTCCTGTGATGCTTTATTAAGGACTTTGATAGGATTTGGCTTAATTTTGGAGAACCCTTCAGTTCTTGCTTAAGAATGAGCCCAGCTTCTTATATTGTGCTTAAAAACACATACCATATAATTTATACTGGTGACCATGTAGTATTAAGTACATTAAGAACGTTGTTTAGACACCCCACGATCTAGTTTCAAAAGCCACCCCAAAGGGAAACCCCCTGCCCTGTAACACCTACCAGCAGCCCCAGCCATCACTATCTGAGGGTTTTGCCTGTCCTGGATTTTTCATGTAAATGGAATCACACAGTTCGTGGCCATTGTGTCTGTCTTTCGTTCAGCTTTCATCCATGTTGTAGCACCTCTTTTATGTGGAATAACACTCCATGGGTGAGCTGACATATTAGGGTACTAGAGCAGTCTTGAACGTGTTTTGTAGTAGTAGGTGCCCGTTCAGGCTGGGATTAAAGACAGATGGCTGGGAACATGAACTCAGAGCAGCTTTTCAACCCAGTTCACATTTTGGGCCAGATACTTGGGGAAGGGGTGAGGCAAGGGTGAGGAGGGGGCAGAGGCTGGCCAGCGCTTTGTAGGGTGTATAGCAACATCTCTGGTGCTTACTCATGATCGGTGGCACCTTGTGACAATGGAAAATCTCCCCATGATGCGAAATATTCCCACAAGATGGCCACTGGTTGAGAATCACTGATCTGTATTAAACTTTAAGCATTTTGTTTCTCTTCTCCTTTTAGTTAAAATATGAAAAAAGCTTGTTGCACATAACGGAAATGTTCTTGCTTTTATATATGTTGCAATCTATGCTAAATTGTATTCCAGGGTAGAAAAATACCGGCCACAGACACTGAATGATCTCATTTCTCATCAGGATATTTTGAGTACCAGTAAGTATACATGTGTCAAGTGCTGTTATCCTAGGTTGAGGATCTAGATATATTTGTTGGCGATGCCGTCTCTGCTGTTCAAAAATTTCAAGAATCCAATTGAGCTAATTTATGGAATGTGGCTGTTAAAGAGTGCGGTGCTTCAGATTTTCATACCTGCATAGTCCTGTGACTTGAATTGCAACCAACCAACACAAGGACCCACTATGACGACTGAGGCAACTCTCGGAAACTGTCAGTGTTTCTTTTTCTTCCTCCTCAGTTCAAAAATTTATCAGTGAAGACCGGCTGCCACATCTGCTTCTCTATGGACCTCCAGGGACGGGAAAGACATCCACCATCCTAGCCTGTGCCAAACAGCTGTACAGAGACAAAGAATTTGGCTCTATGGTCTTGGAGGTAAATAGGACAGTTCCTAAATAGGCCAATTCCAAAGGCCTCCGGTATCTTAATTTTTACTCTGCTAGTTTTTAAGAAGTTGCTCTGCTGGAGGAAAAGCCGCAGATGCAAAATATTTCAACTCATTGTTTTCAGTAGTTGGTATTTTGATTTGGATGGGTGTGAGATACAGGCCAGGTGTAGAGTTGTGTTTCTTTACTGCTGCCAGCTCTCCCTTACACCGCTGCAGGTGACCTCTCTAGGTAGCTGCATCTTGTCCATGCCCCTTGAGCCCTGTGCCCTGAAAGTTTCCTTCCCTCTGGTTCCTACTTGGGTTTGGCCACTAGGGGCCCTGACAGAAGTCAGGCTGGGTACAGGGAGTCCCCACAGGCTGCTAGCATCCCCCTCTGCAAGGCACATCACACAGCCCTCCCGGACCAACACCACACCCCTTGGAGCCCCGTAAGAGGGAGTGCAATGGGCCCCCCTAGTCCCTGGGGTACTGCATGGCCCTGTGTTTTCCCCAGACCCATCACTGCCTTTTGGAAGTTTTTCATCCAGTTGAATTTGAGTCATTTAGTGTGTGGCCCTAAATGACCAAATCCTAAATGACTCTTGCAAGAAAAACATGTTTAACTTACCTTTTAACAACTTAAAACCTTGCTGCTGCTGACATTTGTGCTTTTATGAATTAAAAACTCGGTGACTTATGGGTTGCAGTAGCTAAAGTTAGCACCACTCTGCTTACGCCAGAGCCCAGTTAATTATGCCTGTGTTTTATGACAGTGACTGTGTTCAGAATGGGGAGGGAAAAGTTACTTGCTTTTTAGAATATAATGTAATGCTCACAGGAGTTGTGAGGTTTAAGTGTAATTGTGGTCTCATTCTCTTGTCGTGTTTGTCTCTATAAACTGTCACTATTCCGAGAGACCAAGGGCTTGCTGAGCTGGGTTGAAACAGATGGTCACAGACAGAGCACCAACATATTTTTTGTTGTGATTTCTGTTCCACCTTTAGCTGAACGCTTCAGATGACCGAGGAATAGATATCGTTCGGGGACCCATCCTGAGCTTTGCTAGCACAAGAACAATATTTAAGTAAGAACTATTTGCATCATTTCTCTCCCTGGAGATTTTGATCAGTGAAATAATAGAGGTTAATAACTTTTTTTTAATGCATACAAGAACTGGGCATACAGGCTAGAGGTGCGGTGGGTGAAAGGATTCACCAGAGACAGTGGAGTGGCCGAAATGCACTGCAGAGGGGAGCAGTGGGTGAGACAGGTGAGGTCTGTCACGCCCTGTGGGTTAGCTCCTTGGCTGGGGATTGAACTCGTGCAGCAGTGGCTGCTTTCAACTTACTGTACCACCAGGGAGGACCCTATAGCTTCATACTTTTAATCCTCCCTATTGCCAGCTTGTAAAGGTTAAACAAAAAATGACTTTGTCAAAAGCATCCATGAAAAAGAGACAGTCTGGGGATGGCAGCAGGAAATGTTTAAAAGCAGATATTAAACCTGTATTAGCATTAGCAAGTGATGTGGGGAGGCACGAACATTATTTATTGCTTTACTGAGGACTGAGTACATCCTAAGACTAGGGAGCTAATTTGAATTGAAACACAAAGAAGTTGAGATGGGGATGGATACCTTGGGTGGCAGTTAAGAAAAAAAAAAAACGATGAAGAGACAGGCATGAGTGAAGGAGGGGAGAAAAGCAATACTAAGAAGAGGGGTGCTGAGGGAGAGAAAGGTGAGCGTGCCAGAGAGACCAGTGTCCTGAAAGAGGTGTGCTGGGGGAGGGAGGGGGCCCACAGGTGCCCACTTGGGTTGAGTCCTTGGCCAAGTGCACTCCAAGAGACCCGGATGGCACCAGGTCAAGACATAGGCTTGTCCTGGAAGTTCAGGTGACGCTGAGGAAATCTTTAGATGGTGCCTTCTGTTTCCCCAGGAAAGGCTTTAAACTAGTGATCTTGGATGAAGCAGACGCCATGACTCAAGACGCCCAGAACGCCCTGCGGAGAGGTGAGCCCGCTGACGAGCACAGGTGCTGGTGGGGAGAGCGTAGGCAGTTTGGATAGGAGGTGTGGGGTGGCTCGTGTGCGGGTGGTTTCCCCTCCTCGGTAGCCTCAGGAGATTCGCCTTGTGGGATTCTTAAAATACAGTCAGACACTGCTCTTTCCCTGTTTTCCACTGTGTTCAGTTTCTGGGGTGGGAAGTCATGGGAAGCCCTTCATTCCTGAACTGCTGGAGAGACCTTTGTGCTTAGATGCGAAATAGTCAGGAAAACAAAGCCAGAGATTGAGTTGCACTGAAAGCTGACTTTAAGTGAAATGATGAAGTAGCGAAGACTAGCCAAGGGATGATTTGGCAGAGAAGGGAGAGTGTCCTGTGATTTGTCTCTCTTAAGCAGCCTGGTGCTCTTATCTCTTTGAAAGGACATTGATAATCATTTTCATTAAGAGTCTGAGGTAATCAGCCAGGAGGGAAGGCGCCCATATTTAAGAGGAGGAGGAGGACAGTTAGAGTCTTCTGGCCCTAGAAGCTTTGGCAGCCTGTCTGCGGCATCTTGTTCTGGGGAGCTCCTGCGAGTTGAGGCGGATCCCCGAGCGAGAACATTGGGTCCCCACACCATGAAACCAGTGTCATAAGCATCTCTGAATTTGGGCTACTGCTGCCGCGAGTGCTCTCAGGCTCGTGGACAAAGTCCACTGGGAAGTCTGCAAAAGGCCATCCCCTCCCTGCTCGATAGAGGTGGGGCACTACCAAGCTGCCAGACAATTCATGCAGAAGCCTGGGGTCCGGGCTCCCCTGTCTCAGTGACCTGGTGGCAAGAGTGCCGGGATAGGCGACTCTTATAAAAAAGGAGGCAGTGAGATCCGGAGGGTCTCATGGAGGTGACGTGTCCATCAGCTGGGAGAGGAGAGTGGTGGCTTCTAGTCCTGACCTGGGGCTCTCGTTGTAGCCGCACCCCCACTTGTCTGCCCTCGTAAGTTCTAGCTGCCTTGTTTGCTGCATTTTCCGGGTGCCCACAGCAGGGGCGGGGGCTCTGGGCCCTTTGCAGTGTCGGATGGACTCTGACAGCCGGTGGTTTTCTTCTTCCTTGCCAGTGATTGAGAAATTTACTGAAAATACCAGATTTTGCCTCATCTGTAACTATCTGTCCAAGATCATCCCCGCCTTGCAGTCCCGATGCACGCGGTTCCGTTTTGGCCCCCTGACCCCCGAGCTCATGGTCCCCCGCCTGGAACATGTCATAGGAGAAGAGAGGCGAGTACCTGGAGCCGGAGAGGGTGGGCCTGGGGGTGCTGTGAGCAGGGTCTGGGGCGCCTGGCTGCTTCACTTGCAGAGTGTGATGCCTGTGGGGACTTAGCGGGGTGCCTAGCACCAGGTAAGCATCCGGGGCTGTGCTCTGCTGTCACTTTCTCTGGTATCTCACAGACATTCTCCCTGAAAGCCACTCGGTTCTCTTGATTTTTTCTGGATTCCATCCTCCTCCCCTGGAAACGTGCCAGTTTCCTCCTACTCTTCTTTTGTCACTGGAACCTCCATGCTGCCAAGTCCCTTCTGCTAAGATGCCTCCAGCCTTTTTTGACTAGAAGGGAAAGTTCTGAGACATGACATTCTGTGTAAGCTGATGCCAGACAAGTAGCCAACCCAAGCTGCTGCTGATTTGAAAAGAAGTGCTTTGCCCTGTGACCATGGATCATGCCAGAGGACACACTGCAGAGCCCCGTTTACGTGCTTTGGTCCTAAATATGGGTCTTGCTCAATGCTCGATGCTGAGTGGGCTGTGACTACTAATGCCAAACCCCCATCCCTAAAAAGCAGAGTGAATTCTAGCTCGTTTAGATTGGCAGAGGATTGTTGACGCCGCCTCCCGTTCGTTCTTGCGTTATTTTAAAGTCTAGACCCTTCCAGGCCCCCTGGTTTCCAGGGAGAGGGCTGGTGCTCTCAGGCACCTCTACATCCCTCTGCCTGTCTCCTTGCAGAGTCGACATAAGTGAAGACGGGATGAAAGCGCTGGTAACGCTTTCCAGCGGAGACATGCGGCGGGCCCTGAACATACTGCAGGTACCGTACCACCCAGCAACGGCAGCGCCGTCTGCAAACCGAGACATTTCCAACTGGTCTCCCAGTGTGCCAGACTCCCCCTACCTGTGTGCTGAGATTAGTCCAAAGAATAATTTGTGGCAAAGGAGGGAAAGGTAGGGACGAATTCTGCAGCTCTGACCGCTAACAAGCAGCGCAGCCAGGCCAGCTCTTGGTGTAAAAGGACAGGGTTGGCGCCACTGTGTGGCGGCTGCTGTGGCCTCCCTGGCCTGCCTGCAGCGTGGCCGCCGCCACAGCGTCTCCCCATCTGCAGAGCACCAATATGGCCTTTGGGAAGGTGACAGAGGAGACGGTGTACACCTGCACCGGGCACCCGCTCAAGTCTGACATCGCCAACATTCTGGACTGGATGCTGAATCAGGACTTCACCACGGCCTACAGAAGTATCCTTTTTGGGCACATGAAGTGCCTGAGGCCTGAACTTGGCCCTGAAAGCTCAGGCTGTAGCCTTCACCACACACTGCTAGCCAGAGACAAGCTGATAGGATTGGTCACCTTGTCACGGAGCAGGCTGTCTGGGTGCAGTGGGCACTTGGCGCTGAGGCCCCAAAGTTCTCCGAGGCCTGTCGTTACCTGGACTTGAGGTCACTTCATTCCAAGGTGGCGGGACAGCAGTCAGCCCTAGGCAGGGCAGCTGCGGTTATCTTCAAGTAGTCAGTCGACTCGTGTTTTTCTGTGGAAGAAAAGGCCAGGGTAGTGAAATGAATACATTTGGGGGATACAGAGTTGCCACCCTGTCTTTCAGAAAGCCCTTATTGGCTAGAAAACAGGAGAATTGAGGCCTAGTACAGGCAGCTTTAAGTTGAGAGAGCAGTTGCTGGGCTGCAGCTGACAGGCCTGCTTCACCCTCACGGCCGGACTCCCCACAGCACATTTGTCTGGGACTTGTTCCCTTTGCCTTAACTGCATCTGTCTAGATATTATGGAGCTGAAAACTCTGAAGGGGTTGGCGCTATATGATATCCTGACAGAGATACACCTGTTTGTGCACAGAGGTAACTGGGCTGTCCCCTGCGTCAGAAGCCATGGAGGTGGTGGCCTGCTCTGGGGGCGAGGCTGGTCCCAGTAAAAACGAGGCTTCATTTTAAAGCAAAGAAAAGCAAATACAAACCTGACGCCTTGTTTTAGTTTTGATGTGCTGCTATTTAAAACTTTGTTCCCAGACGCCTCTTTGACCTCTAAAATTGCTGGGGAGTAAGTAGAAACTCACGGTGGCTGACTTTATTTCCTCTGAGGGTTTTTATTTTATAGCAGTTGGTATGTTTTAATTCCCATTTCTGGGGGTATTTTCCCCAAAAGGAAGGGGGACCTGGCCTCAGAGGTGGCCACCTCGAGAGCACTGTGCTCGCTGTGTCTTCAGCTCAGAGCTGTTCGCACCCTCAGCCGCACATAGGAATCCCCGAGACCATCTCCGCTGAGGCCCTGGGGCGAGACCACCGCAGTCTTCTCATCCCCCAGCGCCCTGCCGCGCCCTCTTCCCCGGGGCTGGCATGTTAACCTCTGCCCGCGGACGAGGGCAGCCCAAGGCCAGTCCCGCCCTTTGATGGTGGAAGTGGAGCATGAGTTGGATTTTTAAAATCAACTGTTAGTAGGACGGGGATGTCAGGTGAGAACTCGGCCGTGAGGGTCACGAGAGCTGCCCAACTGCTATAAAAGGGCAGTGTGGGGCGCCCTGAGCTCCACCTGGCTGTGGAAGCCTCAGTGCTTTCTTTCCCTTTGGGCTCCATTCCGAAGCATCGCAGAACAGAGTGAATGAACTGGAAACCTGCAGTTTGTACTTCAGAGGTGTGACCTCGTGCTCTGCAGCTCACACTTTTTCTATGATGTTTCGTTCAGTGTGGGGAGTGACAGACCTCGCTCATTTGATCTTGTTTTTCTCCCAGTTGACTTTCCATCTTCAGTTCGAATACATTTATTGACCAAGATGGCCGACATTGAGTGAGTATTTCCACTCTCATCCTTCCCCTTTTTTCCCTATTGTTTTTGTCTACTTTCTTGGTTTCAGCTTTGTTGTTGTTGTCCATACATGGTGTAGCCTAGTGTTTTGCGGTCGAGCGGCCTGTGGTGGGGTGTGAGGTGCTCCCGATTTGAAGGATGTGTGGATAAACACTGGCCTCTGTGCCCGCCTCGGCCCAGTCCCTGTGCTGCATGGGGGGCCCACTTCCGGGCTCACACTAGGTGGTTGGGGCCCAGCACTCCAGCTGTTAGGAAGGCATCTGGCATGCTACGGCATACTGGGGGGACAGTCAGCATGAACTCAATTTTCCGCTTTGCCTGGTTCAGTAAACAGTTACTAGTCCCCAGTGAAGCCGACAGCTATCATTTAAGTAGAGAAAAAGCACTGGGTTCAAAACAGATGTCACCACAGGCCATCACTGGTTCTCTGTGCATAAATTAGGTCAGTTCTCATCAGTAGGTGGTAAAGATCATGGTTTTGCTTTCAATGACCATACACTGGAAAGGCGGCAAGATGGGAGGTCAGTGCCCAGCACCACCACAGATGCCTCAGCCAAGCTTCCCAGTGACTTCAGAGGAGAAAAGTTTTGACTACAGTTCCTTTGACTACAGTTCCTCTGATGAAGATAGGCCTGAAAGTCCTGCCTATCTGTGCAAGCTAGAACAGAGTTCTGCTATTCATAACAATTTGTTGAATTTTTCTTCACTAGTCTGAATCAGATTGTGGCACAGGAGATGGAAAGGGGACGTATACAAGAGTCCTGTCCAGGATAAACTTTCATTACTTCCTGTCTGCCTTAGCACACTTTCTCTTTGATCTCTATTCACTTGTCAAAGGCAGCTGCTGTGATATGTTGTTGCCTGTTCTTTTCATTTCTCTTAGGTACAGGCTTTCTGTTGGCACCAACGAGAAGATTCAGCTGAGTTCCCTCATCGCTGCCTTCCAAGTCACCAGAGACCTGATCGTCACAGAGGCCTAAAGGTGGAGCCTGCTCGGACAGCGGGCTCAGGGTCAGAGATGCTGCCGCATCACCACAGGTCTTGGGCAGCCGTCCCGGACGTGGGGACAGGCCCTAGACAGCTGTGCCAGCTCGCGTGTATGGCTGTGGTATTGTGCTGCCGTTTGTCTTTTGTTGGAGGGGGGAAAATATACCCTTTTTTTCAACCTTAAGGCTTTTTACTCTTGACTTAGATGACAGGAAATCTGCCTATTCCATTTTGGCCTGGAACATAAGGCTTTCAGATCTTACCTGGTCCAACTTTCTTCCAATTCAAGGTAAACAGAAAACCTCCCAAACTAAGTTTATAAATCTAATCTGTGGCCATCTGTTACCTACTTAAAATTAGTACTGAAGGATTTCTGCCCAAAGTGACTTGTACCCTCATAAAACAGACTCAGTTCTCTTGAATTTAAAAATTGGTGTTTTTATTTCTCTTCTTGAAGAGCATTACTAGTAGGTTTCTAGTTGTTTGGACAGTAGAGAAAATTTTACTGAAAATGATGCTGTTGAGGTCAGAGGTTGTACAAACCTCCCTTACTTCACCCAGGAAGAACCTGCATGAGATGAAGCCCGGTCCTGAACCTACAACTGCTGAACTTATGACTGGTACAAATGTAGCAGTTTATTTTATAGCAATTATATTGCATTTATCATAGTGTTCTTCATAATAAAAATAAAGCAGCCTGCTTTTTGGTTGTATTATAAGTGACTTCTTATTCGGTGTAAAGATGCTGACTTGTTAATTTGCATTTACATGAAAGCCTCCTCTGTCTCTGCTATCACAGAGTCAACTCCTCTGGAGGCTGTTCTTTAGGCAGGTGTCAGATTCTTCTGTTATCAAAAGGAAGAAGTTGGTTGTTTCCATCATTCAGACAACTTGCTGCCAAGGTCACCAGTCAAGCTGGAGCTGGCTGGATGGGGCCTCCCGAACCCATGGAGCCTCCCAGCCTATGCCTCTGGGCCTCTGGGCCACTGCGCCAGTAACCACGGAGCCGAACTCTGCCTGGCCCATTCCCCACTATCCTGTTGTACTCATTCGTTTTAGAAGGTGATTTTTATTTTTCCCTTAATGAGAATAGCTAGAACTTTAAACTTTCCCTTCAGATGAAAGCTTCTCATCTTGAAATGTTTTTCTTCAGCAACGAAGGTGGTATAAGACTCCTAGTTTTTCAACATAATGACCCATTGGCCTCCATCAAACACCATTAGGAAGCCAAAGGATAAGACGTTGCATTTCTTTTAAAATAATTTAAAATATATTAAATTTTCCAAAGGCAGATTTTGTTTGAATGAGGTGTCTATGTGCCACTAAAGGAGAACAGTACTTTTAAGGGCTATATTCATTTAGGGGTAAAGTGGAAACTGGCTGATGAGTTTGAGGAGGTGAAGCAGCAAAGTCGGACGTCGAAAGTGAGAATATCAGCTGAAGTTACGACAACACCAATTCTTTACGCAATTAAGAGACATCTTCACAACTGTTCAACCGAAGTACTATGGTTTTTAGATACCATCAAGAAAAACACAGTTGTACCTTAACATCTGTTGAGAAAATACAAATAAATATGCTAACGAATGGCAAACAACAGACAACTCAGCCATTGAACAGTCATGCAGTTTAGGAATATATCCTCGTGTAACCTGACACACTTGTCATCTGCACATGCACGCCACTGTTTAGGGGAGAAGAAAGCCAAATCATAGTGTCTGTCCGTTAGGGGCCCAGCCTGTGAGTCACCTGCAGGCCAGCTAGGCTAAGTAACACCACCCCAGACTGCTCCATGGAACCTTGGTCCTGCTGGTTAACGCAGGGCCAGAGGAAGGAGAGCGGTTGTGATGAGAACGGACAGCTGCCACTGCACCTGAAAGCCACAACGTGAGGACACAGTGGGAGCCAGACATGCCAGTGGGGCGAGTCTGAGCTCCCACCTCAGAGGCTCAGAGGCCCAGTGACTGATCAAAACATAAATAACTGCACGTTGAATCGAAATGACTAGAAAGAGTTCAACATTGCTGTTTATAAGTGGATGGAAGTTTTAGGGTCAGGAGCTGCTGCTATGGAGTCGGCCTCCCCTCCTCTGACTGACTGTCACACATCATGGAGATAAAGGCCCATGACTAGGCCACTGGGATCTGGTTTTGCTACATTCTACTCACAATCCCAAAGAGAAATCCTTCAACCCAACCAGATGTTTGGCCCATCATTTCAGACACTCCTTTGCCACAAAGATCAATCCTGCTACCAACACAAAACAAAAACAAGACTTAGGTCACATTGTTTAAAAAGTCCTGTATGTGAGGAACTCTTTCATCTTCTTGGGGATTGGCAGTGCTAGCACTTGGTAGGTTGTTAGGAAACTTCGAAGGGCTTTCCGGCATAAGTGCTTCAGTGATGAGAGGACCCTAGGAGCTGTCCAGAACTGGACATGGCCGTCCCTTGTCCTGAAAGGAAGGAAACCGATGTGTTAACCGCGTGTGCCCATCACGACGGCTGTCAAAGCTTCAACTCTGAGCTGCACAGCCAGGAGACTGGACAGTGGGACGCAAGACACCGCTGATGCCAAAGTGCTGTTTCAGCACCGCCCTTTCCCAAGCATACGCAGTCCACGTGGGAGAGGAGTGCCACCTACTGTGCGGCGGCCACTTCACCCTATAACTTCCCATATAAGTTCTGCAACTTAATTTATACTTGGCCTATAAGGGGACATGAGTTGTAGTTCTCTGAATACACTTAGGTTAAATTTACAATGTAAATGATAACCTATATTGGCAAAATAGATTACAATTTTATGTAATCTTGGATTTCTTCATAGGCCAGAAAATTCTGGATGCTTTCTTTCCTTAAAAAGCTACAGGGTATAGTCAGCAGAAACTGCCACCCATCTGCTCAGCTAACAGATACATACCCTGTGGCAATAACTCCACCATGTGGAAAAAATGTGCAGCAAAGACCATTGGTCATAGGAGCAAATGCAATTGGAGTTTTCAGTTCCAGGGCCCAGATCCTGAGGAGTCTGGATGAGAAAGAAAGGTACATTGGCACGGGAGCAGCCCTGGGGCCAGCCCTGAGGGTCATGCGCCCATTACTTGCAAGCAGTTCTGAGGGTACACAGATTGCTTGTGGTTACCTGTCATCGGCCACGGTGGCGAGGTACAAGCCTTCGGGAGAGAAGCACACGGATCTCAGGGAGCTGATGTGGACGTCGCTGTCATCCATGGGGGGGTCCAGCTGGGTGTGGCTGAGGAGAAAAGAAACGGCAGTCGGCCTAGATGATGGCCACCCTCCACTCCTCAGCTTTCCATTCATCCCTGCGCAGGCAGCTCAACTACTGTGGCTCTGCACACATCAAGATGAACCTTGCCCTCTTACAGAAAACCTTGAGCTCTGCAGACTTGCAAAAGTGCCTTTTCTAAGGCTCCGAGTGACTTGGTGGAGGGCTGAAGGGTTCCAAAAACTCCCTGTACTAATTTTCTTATGCAAAGTAGGTCACCCTTCACTTTAATGCCACAGTACAAACTGAAAGTCTTTTTTAGGCTAAGCCTGTTGTAATTATAGGATTACCTATTATTTGCTTCAGAAAACAAGAGAGATGAAGGGGAAAAGTCGACCAAGTCTTGAGAGCGTGAAAATTCATTTAGGAGATAACAGTTTCAAAGAGAGGATCGTTCTGAACTTGTTACTACAGTTATTAGTAAATGGAAAGAAAGAGTCACTTTGAGATTTCGCAATGCTTAATCCAGAGAAGTACAAGCAACCTCCTCAAGACACTGAAGACACTGGGTCCAATTTGAGAACATAAAGAGACAATGAGAAACAGCCTCCCTCCAGTGCCTTCAAATAAGCCTTGAACCCACTGTGTGTGGACCCAGCTGTCCGCTGCCCTGTGGGCCTCTTGCAGGGTCATGTCAAGCCAAGGCAGGTCTCATCAGTCACCCCCCCTCCCTGCCCAGGGAAACGGGGATTCAGTCCTTACTGGAGTGACCTCAGCCTCTCGCCGGTGTAGGGGTCCCACATGATCACGTTGGTATCATAAGAAGCTGTGACAAGCAAGGCCGAGTCAGGCGAGAAGTCACAAGAGACAACGCTGCTTTGGTGGCCCTCTAGCTTCCGAATTAACGTGTAAGACCGCATGCTCCACAGAAAGACCTATGGAGAGCAACGGGCGTCTGGTCAGAGAGGAAGTGGCAGAAAGGTACGGAAGGTGCCCTTTGGGCCCCACCACCAGATGAAGCCCACACCAGAGCTCTTCTAGAATGTACCACACATGTTTATATAAAGTAACAGGTCTAAATGCCTATGGACATAAAAAAAGCTGACTTTAGGGGATAATACACCACATGAGTCTCAGGAAGACTGAGGTATATCAGTGCAAACAGCCATCAATGCAAATGGAGAACTAAGCCAAGGGCTACCTTGTCCTTTCACTTAAAACCAAAAATAAGGGTCAGATGTGAACTCCAGGGTAGCCAACAGCCACCCTCCCACACCTGGCCTTGTGACCGTCTGACCCAGCTCATCACTTTGAACCTTCTTGCGAATCATAAAAAGTAGGATTGTATTTTATTTGCTTTAAGAAAACTCGCATTTTCACATAGTTCCAAACTTCAAGTAAATGATTAACTACTTGGGCTGTACCAAATAGTGAGCTCTTTCTTTCCCAAGTCAGTCACAGTGAGCAAACAGCTCCATGCAAATACAAAATTCAAACAAACTGCTCCCAAACTGTTCTTGGGCTTCTCCTCCTTAAAAAACAACTGACAGGATTTCAGGACAAAGTTCAATGGTAGTTGTACATTTTATGGTTGGAAAGGGAAATGCTAATTAGGCAGGTTCAAATTAGATGGTTCAAAGGAAGTGTGGACACACGTAGGTTGCAACTTTTAAAATCTTTAGACTCCAAGAGGAAAATAAACCTTAAAAGCATCCCTTTATCGTTCTGTAAGAGCAAACAGCTCTCTGATGATGGAATCGATCCACTTCCAAACACCACCTCTCTCCCTTGGTTCACATCAAAGTGCAAATCAAAAGGGAGGTCCCTCGGGAGGGGCTGTGGGCCACTGTGGCTTCTGTTGGGGCATCTGTCAATGGCAGAGGACACTTGGTTTATTTACCCTCACACACAGGGCCTAAGTCAGACCCCCACGTGTTGCTGAACTCAAGCAGGAAGGAGATGGCCCTCAGTGTTGAGACTTACTGACTTCTCTCCAGCTGCAGAACACAGCATGCTGCAGTCCGGGGAGATGGAGCAACAGTAAACCCACTGCAGGTGGCCTGACAGCACCTGAATCTGTTTACCTGGCAGAAAAGAGAAAATGATGAGCCGCTCTCAAACCCACGAAGCAAGACTAAAGAACTGGTCACAGCAGCCCTCCCCCGTGTACCCGTCCAGTTCTCTACAGTGGAGCCCAAGGCCCCTTTCATCAATGCAAAGAAAAATACTGCGGGACTTGTCATTTAAATGCATAAAATCTATTTGTACCACTTTCTAATGCCCAGGAAAAGTCATTACCTACAATTTCACCCATGTCCACAAGGCACATGGGATAATGAGGTACCCTTCCAAAGCACAGAACATTTTTTTACAGGCCCCCCAACCACCTCAAGTACTTTGAGTGTCCTGCCACATTTGCAGGACAGTTTATCTTCAGTTCTCCGTCACTTAACAGATGGAGATTCCCTGTGCGAGTCCTTGGCTAGAAGGATCTCCCTTCCTCCCGCCTGCACCAGGCTGAGGATGAGCAGATAGGGGTGCAGAATAAGGCCACATGCAGGTCTGACCCTGGATCCAGTGCTTACTCAGCATATAACCTGAGGTCACGCACTATCTCTAGTTCTAGGCAAACTAAATGCCCACTCACAAAAGGTTGGCAAGTAAATGGTGACAGGACTATTCATTTAGATGAAATTAAGGCTCTCGATTTTCTGTAGAGCACTAATGAAAAAAAAACAAAATGTAGAAAATACATGAAGGCTGTGAGCCTATGTTTATGAAACAATGACTCAAAACCCATAAACTTGAGAGCCTGAGTATCTGTCTCTTGAAAAGAGAAAGACAGGAGGCTGCATGGGTTTCAAGGTCACAGAGGGACGGGGGAATGCACAGGATGGGAGGACCAGGGAGAGGCTGGGGAGCACCACAGAAAGAAAGCACAAAGTTTTCAGTGGTGTGTATGGGTACACACACTCAAGAATTTATGGATGTAAATAAAGGGTGAGTACTAAAACTTTTTTAAATAGTAAGTCATGATTTCTTTAGCTGTAAAATAAGAACAGAGCCTGCTCTGCGGGTAATGGCGTGAGTTGAACAAACTGAGGCAGGTGCGCAGGGCGAGGCCCACCCACTGGGCCCACGACTGTATTCCCCTCTTCTTAAATAGCTCTGATAACTGCCCTAGCACGTTTCACCCATTCTCATCCTCCTTCACTAGTCCTCCTCCCGCTTCTTCCCACCCAGTGATTTTCAGAGTGCCTTCAAGGGCTTCCTCAGATGGCGACAGGTTGCCTCCTGACTCTCCTTAGAATGGCGCTGCCTTTGGGACACCTTCCCAGCAGCAGCCCATCTCCACGTGCAACAGAGCTCCCCAGGGATGTTCAGGACCCATCTAGAGTTCCGGAGGTTAGAGGCCTCCATGAGGATACTACAAACAGCAACTCCATTGTCTGACAGTTCCCAACTCCGCTGCTAAGCGGGCAGGGGGCAGGTGCCCCTCGGAGCCCTGTCAAGCTACCAGCACCTCTGTATTATCCGGATGAGGGTGCTGTGTCCCGGACACCTCCTTCCGCCCCCCCCCACCCCGCCCTTTGTCCCCACCCATGTGGGAGAGAAATGGCTTAGCAGTAAGTTCCTCTTGCCTATGTCACCTCTCCGATTAAGGACCAACCCTAGGTGGTAGGGAACTCTTTCCTGGTTGCTCAAGAAAATGTAATGACACCTTCTAGTCCAGGAGAATTCTGGGTGTAGATTCTGCTTGACAAAGAGACTATTCTAACGGGAAGTACCCACTGACTGTCCACCTGGGCAGACCTTGCCTTCCACATGGACGCCAGCCCATGTATGGGGACATCTGTGGTCACCACGACTGGCGGAGGTACAGCTGGCACCTCATGGGCACAGGCCAACCCAGAGCAGGCAGGCCAAGCCGTAACAGCATTACCCGTCTACAACGTCAATCAGTGCTGTGCAGGTGGAAAACACCTATTCTATTCTACATCATGTATCTTCAGTAGGGGTGATAGCAATCGGCGTGAAAGTGGGTTCTTAGTAACCAAAATTTCTTACATGTTTTATCTACAAATCCTAAGTATGCATTCAGATTTAGTCAGTAAACCTTTGGAATTAAACATTCACAGAGTGGGGCAGCTGAGGCAATCAGGAAAAAAATGTCCGAATTGGCTCCCTCAGAGACGACAGAAACAAAGACGCTGTTCTGCACTGATAAAGTGAAGTAAGAGGCAAGTGATATTTAAGGCGTTGCCAAGGTGCCCAATACCCCATACCATGTTTGTTCAGGTCCCAGATGCGAAGAGTCTTATCCCGAGATGCAGAGACCAAAATCAAACTGCCACTGGGTGTGAAGCTCAGATCTCTCACGACATCTTGGTGGCCGGAAAGATTTAGGAGGAGGAGTCCTGCAGGGAAGGGGCATTCCGTCAGTGGGAGAGGCCGCGGCGCCCCTTCTCCAGCCACTGTTACACCCCTCAGCCCGGCACGAGCCCTTGGTCTCAGATGAGCACGCGCCCACGCACTCCCAGGGCCCTGCACCAGCTGGAAATGGCCTACCTGTCTGCACCTCCCAAATCTTGATCTGCCCATCATTGAGTCCTGTAGCGAGGATCAGGCAGGAGGCGTCTGGTGCTTGTGGATGGTGGCGTGCCCAAAGCTTCCTGCTGGGCGGAGAGGGCCAGGGGCTGAAGGCCAAGCCCCAGACAATCTGACCGCAGTCCAAAGTCTTCTCCTTTGGGCTGCCTCGCCCTTTTGTATCATTTTTGCTGCTTCGGTTTTTGGCTTCAAACCCTTTAGGGACGCTGGGGGAATGACAGATTTTTTTTAATGAGTGCAAAATGTCACCATGTCAGCCAACTTTCATTCAGGGGTATCTGAGACCTTGAAGGCCCTGAAGCAAGGTGGTGTGGAATTCTGGTATGACTTCTTTAAGAGTTCAGGTAACAGAGGCTTCCTTGATCTTGACTCACCCCTTTGTGATAGCTCTATAGTGGGGTGACATGCCTTACAGGTAACTAGATCACAGATTCTCCAGGGGAGATATATGCTGCCTCAGAAAGTTCTCTCAGGGTTTGAGGTACAGACAGAAAGAGGCACTCAAATTTTTCCCGAGAAAGCCAGCAAGCTGAAGGGTGGGAATCAGGACACCCCCAAGCGCCTGAAAACCCCTCTGCTCTCCTGCCTGATGAGCCTCCTTACTTCCAGCTTAGAAGCCCCAGAAGCTGGAAAAAGAGCCCCCTTTGTGCCAAAACAGCTTACATGATGTATGTTGACCCTGTTCTAAGTATGTGCCAACCTAAAGCTCTTCCTTTACTTCCCTGATGGACAGCCAGCACAGCGATAAGCCAATGGGCAGGTCAACAGACTGCTCAGAGCAGACTGACCCGAAGCTCTCATGGCCAACCCTCTCTCTTTACATTCTACTTTGTGTGCAACAGGCCAGGAGACCCTAAGTAACACACATTTCATAAGACACTGGGCCCTGCCCAGCACGGCACCAGCAGACAGGATGTCAGAAGTGCCAACGGCAGACAACCTGGGGTTCAGCCTGAAACGCTGAGGCTTAGTGAGTGGGGAGCACTTTATCAGTATAAGGATTAAGTCCTACTTTTCTGTGTGACCTTGACCACATTCAGGGCTACATCAAACTGGGGAATATGGAGATAAGAAAGTTTGAACTCAGCTCCACGAGAAATTGAATACTCAACAACTACGCAGCCAGGCTTCCTTTATACATTATGTACTACCAAAGAGTTTGTGTCAGTTGTGGAAGTAGATTAAAGAATTTTAATGAAACCCAAGGAGCAATGGAGGCTTCCTCGGTTCTGAAACTGTTAGTGTAAACAGAAGGTGGCAAGCGACAGCCAGGCCAGCTGTCTGCTTTGGCAAATCAGTTTTATTGGGTCACCATGCTCATTTGCTCAAGTATTATGGCTGCTTTCACAGTTCCACAGGAGAGTTGATGGTTTTGACAGAAACCATATGGTCACAAGTCAAAAACATGTACAATCTGGGTCTTCAGAGAAAGCTTGCTGACCTTAGGTCCAGATGGTCAAATGTCATCTGAAAATGTGTTATTGTGCTAAGACAATCTGATTGTGATGGTGACTGGACCCGATCAATTCACACACAGCCCGGGCCACATCTCACAGACCCGCCTGAACTCACCGTCCAGAAAAGAGGCACACAAAAAGCTGATGTAGGGGACCTCTGCCGGTCAGCTCAGAACCTCCAAATTTAGATGTCTTTTTTTTTTTAAGTTTCTTATTTATTTATTTATGCATACATATGCATAGAGAACTGGGGTACAGGCCAGAGGTGCAGGGGTGGTGAGAGGATTCACCAGAGACAGAGTGGGGAGCAGAACAGGCCGACTGAAGAAGTACACTGCTGAGGGGAGCAGTGGGGAGGTCAGGAGAGGTCTGCCGCGCCATGTGGTCACCTCCGGGGCAGGCGGGGATCGATCTCATGTGGAAGTAACTTTCCATTCTTAGTGCTGTGCTTTAACCCGCTGCGCCACCAGGGAGGGCCCCTAGATGTCTTATTTTTTTAATAAAATCCTAAATTTTGTATTTGAAAGAAGGTATATTCACATATTTCTTCTAATATCACACATTCAATTTCTCTAGAAAGAGATATCAAAATCTCCATTTTTGTGGTTTATTTTACTTTCCTGGGGTTACAAAATCAGAAGCAGAACTGGAATTAGAACTCAAGTCTTGGTATTCTAGCCAAGTGTCCAACATATCTTCTGGAGTTTGCCAGCAAATTAAGAGATTAGTTACATGGGTGAGCTAGGGAAGATTCACTGGGAAAGCTTGAGTGAAATTAAAGTTTCCACACTTTCTTCTAAAGTGCTCACTATCAAACGCACTAAAGGATTTTTATTAATTTTTAATAATCCTACCAAGAACATAAATGCCCCAGACTCCCTTTTCAAAGAACTTTTAAAATAACAATGATTTAAATTTGTAAGAATAATAGGGATATTTTGGAAATGGATACATAATAAAATAAAAATGACCCATAATCTTAACACTTTAACCAAGGAAATATTTCACTATAAATGTTTGCTTATGTATATATACATGTTTTCTAAAAATAATTCTGGAATCATATTGTCTATGTGGTTTTACTGCTTAGTTTTCTCAATAAGCTTTATGCCACAGATATTTCCCCAAGTTATTTTTTTCTTCAAAATGTGATCATTCCTCTAAAACAAGTAACTTTTTATTTAACATATTAAACAATTATTTTCCTCATTAAACAACAGACACACAGAAAGGATTACTATTCATATTTCCATTTTCCTTAGTTAATCCTAAAACGATATATCAACAGTAATATATATATATTTGAATACAAGACTGATTTTTCAGGAAAACAACAGAATTTCCTTTTTATGCTTTAAAATCAAAACTTTTTTAGTCTGTAAACTTGTATCAGACTCAAGTCTAGATGTGAAGTTGAGTTCAGTCCCTTATACAGTGTGAGTGGGGAACAGTGAATGGCTATGGAGTTATCGTTCAACTGAGCATAGAAAAATTAAAGTCATGGTTAAAATAACACACACACACACAATCTTTGATGACTGCAAAAATGTCACACAGCAATGCCACAATATCCTTAACTATTCTCTCACACTGGATTTGAAGCCGTTTCTAGTTTTTACTACTATGCTGTTAATCTCATGATGATACTCAGTTATCTAAATAATGGCCCCATTCTGATTACCAATAGCCAGAAGAATGTTTCATTCTTAATGCATATTGTTAAACAGCCTTCCTTCCAGAAAGTGCAAATCTATACCTCTCAACTATAACTGTGAATATTCTAATAGGGGATCGGTAAGAGATGCCTAGAGCAAAACAAATGAGACTCTTTAGAGCAGGGGTAGTGTTTGACCCTATCAAGATTCTCATCCCCTAGCTCAGTCAGGCAAAACACACACACACACACACACACACACAAAATGTTTACTGAATAAATGCACACGTAAGGGACAAATGGGAAGATGAGGTGCTGGGCCATCTGACTAGGAGCTCACAGCATCCAGGGACCTGTCCAACCCAAAGAAAGAAAAGCCATGAACTTGGGCAATCATAAAAACTACCCAATTTAAAAGTGGGCACAGGCTCTTCGGAGCCATTTCCCTGGAGAAGACAGACAAAGGCAATGAAACATGAAAAGATGCTCAGTTAGCAGCCATCAGGGAAGTGCAACTCCAAGCCAAGCGAGAAGCCATTTCACACCCAAAGATTGTTAGGCTGTGACCAAAAGACAGACAATAACAAGTGTTGGTGAGGGTATGGGAAATTCACACATCTCTAGTAGAATTCTAAAATGGGGCAGTCACCTTGGAAAACAGTCTGATAGTTCATCAAATGGTTTAACATAGAAAACATATGTCCACAAAGAAAGCTGTAGATAAATGTTTATTACAGCATTATTCGCGATAGCCAAAAAGCAAAACCCCCCAAACGGCCATCAACTGGTAAATATATTAACAAAATAAAATCTCTCCACGCCATGGAGTATTATTTGGCAATAGAAGGAAATGAAATACAAGCTACACATAGTAACACTGTGTGAAAACATTTATGTTTAATCAAAGAAGCCAGTCAAAAAAGGCAAGTCTATGAAGACAGAGGCTGTTCAGGGCTGGAGAAAAGAGGGGGACTGGGGGACAATAGCCCAGGGCTGTGGGGTTTCTTCTGGGGGTGATGAGTCCGCATGTGTTCAAACACTGGTCATGGTGATAGATATAAAACTGTGAATACACTAAAGGTCACTGAAGTACATATTTTAAGTGGGCAACATGTGTGTTAAGTAACTGCCATTTCAATAAAGATGTTCTTTAACAAAAAGACTATCATAATTACTGTTATAACAGAATTGCTGTTCACAGGTACAGCATGTAGGCCTCTGGAAACCCCAAGGATCAATTTCTGAACTGTTAGTCTTTTCCCCTCTCCTGCTCTTGGGTTGGGAAACCCCACACCGCAGAGAACAATTCGGGAAAGCACTCCTGGACCCTGAGGCAAAGACCCGCTGTTCCCTGGGGGTGAGTACTTACAACTGCTCCTCCAGCGGCCAGGGGATCAGCTTGACGATGCAGTGTCCTTGAGACCAGGCAAACCAGGAGCCGTCTGGGGAGAAGGCGACACTCCAGGTTTCACAGCTCGACTTCCAATCAAACTGGTGGGGGCGTCCGGGCTTGAGCTCAGCCAGCAGCAGCGGTTCCTCTGAGACAGGAGACAGCATGCTGCAAACACCCTCACCTCCCAGAGTGGGGAGTGGGGCTTCCCCAGCACCTCCCTGACGCAGACACAGGAAAGCCACTTTCTTCCCATGGCACAGGGTGACACTGAATTCCAGGAGGAGCTGTCATGTAAATGACCAGGGGCAGTCAGAGTAGCCACAGGCCACATTCCAGACGGGTTATTCATCCTGGCACACTCCACTACAGTTAACCAGGCTCAGAGTAACCTTTGTGCAGAAGGACTGCGGGACTGAGGACTGACTGTCCTTTGAGCTCCTGAAGAGAAGGGAAGGAGGGTGGGCCAGGCAAGGATCATGCCGGCTGCTGCAGGTCCCAGGGCCTTATGCTGTTATAGGTAGAACCTGGGCTGGGAAACAGGTGAAGGTGGAGACACCTGAAGTGCAAAGGTGCCCCTGTTCTCCCCACTGCCCAGGCTAGAAGCTCAGCAACGGCCAGGCTTCCTTGCCAGAGACCACTTGATTGGGCCTCCCACCTCCTCTGTTCTGGTTTAAACCCTCGTCCCCTCTTGCCCACATCTTTTACACGATGCTCCTGGTTTGCTTTTCTGTCCTCAGGGACCCTGCTGCAGGAAACACATCACATCACTGCATCGTATGTCCCTGATAACGCCCCGCCCACCACACTGGCCACACGAGTCTCCCTGTCAGCCCCGGGAGCGACTAATTCACATTCAGGCCTGGTCTTGTGGGCTGATCGTGACGGCCCCACCCAGGGGAGCGGCTGGGAAGCATCCCCCAGCCTCACACTGCAGAGAGGAACAGGCCTGCTCTGCTTTCCCTGCCCAGTGACAACCAACTTCCCACCCGCAACAGGATCCCGGCACCCCTGTTCACACACCAAGACACAGGGCCTGCCTGGCACGTGGTGACTGGGACGCCGCTGCGGCTATATCCCCCTGAAGGACAGCTCCCAGGGCGACCTTCTACGCCAGTGGAAGGTTCTCAACAGCAGACAGATGATGCTGGTGTCGAAGCTAGTAAGCTCAGGCCTTTCTGACTCCGTGACCACGATGATTGATACTAATACTACAACTGGCTTCCATCCTGAATGAGCTCACTTCCTGGTGTTTGTGTCCCTCTTGAGCAGTTTCAAGACTCTGACCCTTTTGTATCAGCTCCCAGCTACTAAACGTCCATGTTTCACATGTTCTAGGAAACACCTTTTCAGGTCTCTCACATTCTGACTTCACCGAAAACAGGATATGTCTTACAAGTGACCTTTCGGAGTTGAACGTGCAGTTTTTTCTCAGTGATACATGATCACAAGAACAATCCATGATCTCCTGGGAGTCAAAGAGACGGTTAAGAAGCACCCACAAGCATGGATGTATACGGTTGAGTATATCTGCATTCTTCTGGTGTTATGGTACATGAAAATACCTTGTATTATAAAATAAGTGTGTTCCTGGAAACTGCCTTTAAATAGAATTTTAATAAATCACATCAAGCCTTTGGTGGCTTTGCTATTTAAAGAAAAATTTAGGGAAATTTTCTCTGTAAAGAACCTTCATTCATTTCCTGAGGTTTAATGCACAAGTCTCAGTTGAAATATAAACTGGCACCTGTAGAGGCCCTGAAATTCCTCAAGAAATGTTACGTGTCTGCACATGCTGCTCTCCCTGGCACATCTGCACGCCCACAGGAACACACTCCCAGGGGCTCTGCATGGGAGAGCAAACGGGCTCTCCTGTGACGCAGCAAGCCCACCACGCTGCCTTCATTCGCATCATTCCCAGGTATGTCCTCCCAGTGGCCACTCCCAAGTCTGTCCATGCCTCCTTCCTGTCGTCTGGTTCTCTCAATAGGGGGCTATTTGTCCTCCAGTGACACGTGGCACATCTGGAGACATCCCGGTTGGCATAGGAGGGTGATAGCTGATGGGCAGAGGTCATGGATGGTACTGATCAGCCTGTTACAGTGTACAGGAAAGTCCCTACAAAGAAGGGTTTCTGGCCCTATATGTCATCAGTGCTGAGGCTGAGAAACCTGGACATAATCAAGAATTAAATGACACTAACTGCCTTTAAGACATTTTCATCAGCTGGATGAACATTTCATTCCATCTTCGTAGTATTCGCACTTGGTTCACTTTGTCTGTAACCTGAACATTATCCATCCTTTCAACACCCTGGGAGTGCTGAACAATATCAAGCGTGTTCTCCTTGACTTTTGTCTTCATACACAAACCAAATCCATTTCCAAAAGACTTCCTAACCCTCACTTAGCTCCATCTCCATGTCTCCTCTTCCAACTTATGCATCATCTCACCTACTGCAACATCGTCTCACGCCATTTATGCATCACTTCTCACTAAGCTGCCTTCTCATTGCTTTCCTAGCTTCTGCTCTGGTCCCACGGTCCTCTACCAAAAAAATCAATTTCAGTCATTCTTGGAAAAAAATCCAAACTCCTTACCCTGCCCCCTCAGTCCTGCCTAACCTCGTCCCTGCCTTGTCCCCTACCCAGGCTGTTCCTCTCCCTTTATATCCCTTGATACCATACTCAATTAGATCCAACCCCAAGACCTTTGCACCAGCCATCCCTTGCATTTGAGATGCACCATCATTTCACTCAGGTCTCATCTCAAAGGCCAACTTGGAAAGCCCTTTCTCTAACTCCACTCTCCTTCACAGCTTATTTTTAATTTAACACCATTTAATTTTAATTAAATTAACACAATCACCATTAAGATTATCTGGCCTCTACCAGATGGGTTTCACTCATAGCAGGAGTATAATGGACCAGGCAAGAAAATAGTAAGAATAATGAACAACCATATACCAGAGACATTTTGTGGGGGTGGAAAGGGATCAAAAATGGGGGAGGGAAGTGCACGGGACTATGGTGATGGCACACGGGTGACTCGGTGATGGGAAACCCATGGGGATTACAACTGAGATGGAAAAAAAAATGTACAAAATTATGTAAAAATAAACTATTATATTATAAAAAAAAATCCAAGAAATAGAAGGTGGAAAAAAAAAAAGATTAGCTGGCCTCACTGGACTATGGTGATGGCACACGGGTGGTTTGGTGATGGGAAGCCTACAGGGATTACATCTGAGATGGAAAAATAAATTATTATTAAAAAAGATACTATCTGGCCTCCTTGATGGCACAGGGGTTAAAGTCTCAGTGCTCTCAAGCTATCACCAGGTACCCTGGCATGAGCTCAATCCCTAGCCAGGGAGCTGACCCACATGGTGCAGCAGACCTCTCCTGCCTCACCGTTGCTCACCTCAGCAGTGTATTGCCATGAATCTATCTGTTCTGCTCCCCAATCTCTGGTGAATCACCCCCTCAACCACACCTATGGCCTACACCCCAGTTCTTGTATGACTAATATATATTAACAAATAAACTAGGAATATAAGGTTAAAAAGTAAAGTCTGTCTCTCCGTCCAAGTAGGATCGAAACTACCTGGGAGTAGGGATCTTGTATATTTATCCCTGGTGCCTAACACCGTTCCTGGCAGAGAGTAGGCAGTAAATATTTGTTGTCTGAACACATACCAATTGAAATTAAAAATGAAATGAAACCCCTTAAACTATTATGATGTTTATGCCAAACATTTCATAGGACATTCTTCTTAAAAATGAACCATACTCAGAATTCACTCTATTTATGGAATTTGGAGACTTAAATCTCTCCCTATTTCAGACTCAGGAATCCAGGAGATAAAAGAAGAATCCAGACAGACTTCTGTCTTGTCATTTCTAAAGAAATTCTGAGGAGGATCTGGGCCCAAACTATACTTGGCTGCTGGAAAAGAAAGCCATAATTAGTGCAAAACTTTAAAAAAGAGAGCGAGCACGCCAAGAGGTTCAAGTCCCATCTGGGCCTGTTCTTGCAGTGGCACTTCATGGTGAGAGGTCTCATGGATCAGGGCTTTCTAGTTACGCACTGGGAAATGTCTGGATAATCAGGCTGAAGGAAGAGACATCTATCAGCCTCTTCTGTGAAAGATGCACCTGATACCAGAGAGCCACGCTAAGGCCCCAACAGCAAGCAGCTCAGTGCTTTCTCCTCCCTCAGCACCTTCCACTCAATGTCCCCACTGGCCTGAAAAACTCTGCCTGGCCAGACCCCGGGTGGCCAGACCACCCCACCTTACCATCGAGGGCTGCCCGATGGCAGCTACCCAGGGACCTTCCTGGTCTCACTCTCGAGTGACCCAGTCATTTTCCTTTCACTTACCTATTTTCTTTATAGGCACCACTCAGATTTTCTGGATCACCTTCCTGTTTTTATGCATTTATTGTCTGCCTTTCCCACACCCCCACCCCAAAGCTACCTGTTTCTGGGGCTGGGCTGTGCTGTCCAATACAGTGTCACTAGTCACACGGGGCTTCCAATGTGGCTAGTCTCAATTAAGCTGGACTGTAAAAATAAACTATTGGACTCCAAAGAATTAGCACCAAAAAAAAAAAAAAAAAAAAGAGATACTCAGGAGGAATGTGTGTGTGTGTGTGTGTGTGTGACAGAGAGAAAAAAAAAGAGAGAGAGAGAGAGAGGAGGGAATCTAAAACATCTCAGTATATTTTTAAAAAGATTTATTTTTATTTATTTATGCATACAAGAACTGGAGTGTAGGCCAGAGGTGCGAGGGGTGAGAAGGTTCACCAGAGACAGAGTGGCGAGCAGAACAGGCGGATCTACTGAAATACACTGCTGAGGGGCATAGCTGGCCAGACAGGCGAGGTCTGCAGCACCACGTAGGGCTTTCTCCCTGGCCGGGGGTCAAACTTTATGCAGTGGCTGGCCATAGCTCGATAGTGCTGAGATGTTAACCCCTGGACCACTAGGGAGGCCCCAAAATATGTCTCAATAATTTTTTAATTGACATGTTGAATTAGCACTCTGTGTGGAATTAATGCTAATGAGTGTTTCAAAATTAATTTTATCTGTGTTTTTTTAAACACAGCTACTTGGGCATTATATAGTGTGTGTGTATATATATATACATATATATATGTAAACACATACAACATTAAATTATAGTTGTGGCTCACAACTGTATTTCTATTGGCCAGTGCTAGACAAGTGGGTGCCTGGCACGTAGTAGACATTCAATAAATATTTGCTGATTGAATAAATACATTCTAATCACTGTTCTGAAGGTATCTACTATTGTCCATTGTAAACCCATTACAATAGGCTTTATTCAGTTTCAAAAGAATGTAAAACTCTGGCCTTATTTTTTTAAAAAACAGTAGCTTGGCAGCTCTCAAACAGCTCTGCCCACACCCCAGAATACAGTCAGCAATCATTAGGAATAACACCCAGACTGGAAACATATTCCTGATGAAAAAACGAAGACTGGGTAGGGGACCTCTTACAGATATAATTATACATAAGGAAGGGAAAGGATAGCCCGAGCTAAAAAGAAAAAAAAAAAAAAAGATTCAAACAGTAAGGGCCATTTTAAAAGAGTTCTGTGTGTGACACACTCACTGAAAAGCCCTTATCTAAATGGGAAGCAAGAAAGAGCCGCCTCAACACCTTTTACTAACAGCCTGACTCCAGCAAACAAAGAACTGTCATTTCCCAAATTAAAAAGTTACACCACCCCAGGGAATACCCTGATTTGAACCTACCCACCAGCAATTCCGGCTAGATCAAACAAGCCAAGGAAACAAACACCAACCATCAGAATCCTCCAGGCCAGGATGAAGCTTGAACTTCACTGGAAGTGAATGTTCTGGAACAAATTCTGAGCCCTAGGCCTTGACCCCTTGTGAGGCTCTTTCCCCAAGACAAACTGCCTTTTAGCAGGGAGGTGGGGGGACGTTCAAGAGCTGGGAATCCCAGGAGCCAAGCCAAACCCTTGGCCCCAAATTTCTACACAGGTGGGGCTAAGGGGCTAGGTAGGATGGGGGTTCTGGGAGCAGAGGCCGGAGGGGCGCCCGGAGGCTCGCCTCCATATAACAAGCACGCTATCATTCCCAGAGCTTGCGTCTGGCTGGGAGTGGGGGGCTCCAAGTAGATCCCGGGTACTGTGATTTCCAGTTCCTGATGACAGCTGCTATTCTCTAAGGATAAAGCCCAGTGCCTCCCCTCCCCCGTGCACCCCAAACTTGCCCTCTCTATCGTACCTGTCAGCAGCCTGCAGCATCAAAGCCCCACCCCACCCCACTGCATCAGTTGGGGGGGGGGGTTTGTTTCCAAATATAATTCAGAGGCACCTCAGCCCCCATTCTCCTCAACAGGCAGGCTGGGGAGGCTCCCCACCAGCCACGGGGGCAGGTACTATTATGGTCCCATTCTGCCGCCACAACACGGAGGGGGTGGTCAAGGGGCTCGTCCTCCACCGCACAGCCTGGAAGGGCCACCGCTGACTCCCCCCCAGACTGCGAGGGCGTCACCGGGCAGCTGGCACCCTGCCCTGGGGGGGCACTCCGCAAGGGCGGGGCGCACCCCCGCATCCCACCGCGAACGAGTAAGTGACGGGTCCGGGCGCCCCCCCGCTGCTTTCCGGGAGGTGGGGAGCCTCGCCTCGCCGAGGCCCGGTCTCCCCGAGTCGGGTCGGCGGCCGGAGACCCGGTGGCGGCGACTGTCAGCGAAAGTGAAACAAAGCTGGGCGCCGAGCGCGCACCCCGCCGCCGGCCCGCGTGGAGGGCCCGGCC